TCTCATCTGCAATGTGTCTGGCATTCAGTCTTCAAAATCTTCCATTCAAATACAGTGTTTCATTAGCTTTGAAGGAGACAGAACTATTCCTAAATATTGAAGAGATCTGTGGAAATGGGAAATAGAAATGTGGAGATGGGAAATCTGAAAAATGAAAGTTGGAAAAGGAGAGATATAAAACTCCTGAAGGGCAGAATAGCAAGGGGAGTTGGGAGACGAGGAAGAAGGAGCTGGACTTTAGGAGAAAGAGCAGAGACCACCCTTGGAGACCTTTTCAAGGAGCAAAAGACTAATAAATTAAAAAAAAAAAAAAGACAAGATGACAGGATGTTGATAAGGATAGACAATATTAAGTGAAGGAGGATGTGAAGTGGGGAGATCATGTAAAAGGTAAAGTAGGATCCAAGCTTACAGGTAACAGTTGAAATAAAAATGTATATGGGGAAAAAGCACAGCAGTGTTCTTTCATCCTGCAGTTGGAATAGCAAAAGGAATTAGAAGAGCAGATGTTGTATCAGCTTTCGGCCTCCTTCCAGCTGAAGTAGTAAAAACAAAGCAAAAGTAAATGGTGCTGGTTATGGACATTTATAGACTTTACGTGTTTGTTGTGACTTGCCTGCTGGCCAGCAGTCTGGTACGGAGCCTGCCCACGGGCCCGACCCAGCCACCCCCGGCGTCAGCACTGGGGTGTTTATCGCAAGGCTTTCTGAGTCCCTGTTAATCAGGGAGGTCTGATTAAGCTAAGGAGAAAATGAAGCATTAGAGAAACCTTAAAATGTGTGCAGATATGAGTATCTTCAGAGTGGGGGGAGAACAAATTTTATTTTCTATATTTATACACAAGAAGGGGTCCAAAATTCTACAGTGTGAAATTTCCATATGAAGTTATTGAAATCTGCATGTTTCTATGCAGACTTCTTGCATGAGTAATTGTAAAACTCCGGGCTGCAATGCATTTAACTACACAAGGTGCTGCAAATCACTAAACCTAGTTTTTATTTGTGCAAATTGTGTAAAATACTGCATTTATCCTGTATTTTGTGCATGTGAGACTGTTCTTAGAATCGGAGAATATTTTTCCTGATGAGGTATCACTTTTCATTTGAATTTGAAAATTCACTTATTAGTTTTTTGCATTTATAAATTGCTCAATTGGCATTAAACCCTTGAGACCGTGCTGAGACAAAGGGTAGTATGTTAAGAGTCTGTATTCTTATTTGTTAATTATTAACAGGAGTTGAAACAACAAAAAAAAATATTTTACAACTAGATTTTCATACCTAACCTGGGTTAGTTGATGCTACAAGTACCTTTTACATAAGACCTGTCTAGGTGCTTCTTGTTACAGCTATGATGGGTGGGAATGAATTTGCTAAGCTTTCAGATATCTTATGTGCCTCTGAGGACTGCCCATTTATAATATTAATATATAGGTATTTCCCACTGTTGTATGCAAGGCGTTTCTTAGAACTTTGAGGCTAAAGTCTTTTTTAACACACGGGCCTTTTCAATTTAATCCATTAGCAACGTGGCAAAATAAAGTAATTGTCCAACAGAGGAAGAAAAAAAAAAATCTATTAACATTTGCTACAAATCCAAGCAGTACAGGCAGCACTTAATTAATGGAACAGATTTCTCACTATGTATTCAAGCTAACATAGCTATTGTTCAGGAGAGATTAGACCCTTAATGTAAGTAAGTTAAACTAGACCTCCATCTAAAAATATCCGTCATTTCAGCTATTAAAGGTCTGATGTCTTCTTTGGTGACAGATATATTTCCCTTCATTTCCTTGGTTTTGTAAAATGTAAAGTATGCATTGTGTGTAACGCGAGAAATCCGCGGAGGTAGATGAAGCCCTGATTGTGCCTCCCCGCCTGTCTCTCCCCGCCTGCTCCTTTGTGCTGCTCCCCGTCACAGAGCCTCTTCAGCCCTTAGACCTCCTGGCACCAGAGCAGAAGAACAGAAAATGCTGTTTGTTAGGGTACGATGCCAGCCACCTAATCTGTTTGCAGAATGAGGGCCATGGGATCTGATTAGGTAATTTAGATACCTTGTGAGTTTAATAATACCTGAGCTGCCTTTGGCCGTCAGCCCATCATTTCACTGCTAGGAACTACCATGTTCTTCCATTTCTGCTGTAAACTTCTTACCCATAATACTGTATTTGAGTCCAAAGAGGTGTTAAGGGTTGCGGGTGAGGTGTATCTTTACTTCTGCGTGTGTGGAAGTTAGTGATAGGGTGGAAGAGGTGAGGTTGCTCAGTTTTAAATACATTTTCTGCAGCCCAGTTCCATGTGCAGCGTATCCTTGTCTCCTGAAAATGAAATTTTTCAAACGTGAGATTCTTTGTTTAAACACTTAAGGTGATGTACCGGGTTTCCGATGTGTTGGGCAGTCCGAGCGCTCACTTGATGTCACTGGCAGGTTTTGAAGCTTGGTTTGTCCAAAGTGGTTATTTCATCCTTGGGGCTGGGAGTTCCCCCACGTGCTGCCGCAGCCGCGTGCGGCCCCGGGGCGAGAGGCTGACCCAGCCGGGGGCATCGCCGTGCCCCTGCGGGCGTGCATGAGGGCTTGCGGCAGCAGCCTAGGTGCCTCGTTCAGATACCCGCAAGGGAAAATTTTGGCTGCAATTTTAATGTCACGTCTCCTCCCTTCCTCTCTCTGTGTTGCCAATTAGCGTTTTTTGGAAATTAGAGTCTTGCGAAGCCTGCTAACATAAACAGAAGTGTGTTAGGATTTGTTTACTTTAATTAATTTAGAGTGTGTCTTTCTGAGAGGGTTTAGTTAAACATCTTTCTTAAACAGTAATGTGCCAGTAACAGCAACGTTAGTAATAGTGATAAGACCCAGAAAGGGAAACCAACTAGAAAGCAAAGTGAAATGTTTCTGTATCCAGAAAATAAATGGTCTTCCCAGGAAAATGGAGGAAACCCTGTGCAGGGACACTTACAATTAGGTTGGTCAAAACAGTAGAAAACATACAATACGAAATAAAACCTGTAAAGGTAGAGAGCGGGACTGTGTGAGGTCTTTCTTTTTGCTGTTTTCATTTTGTTTTCTTCTTTTCTGACTGTTGCTGTTTATTTTTTTTCTAGCAGCACCCAAAATGTTCTTGGAGCTTTCCAAATAGTAAATAGTTGTTTTTCATGTAATGATAAATTATTTTTTGTGATGGAGTGATTGTCAGGCTAACAATATTAATGGGATTTATATGAAAGCATCCAATTAAAAAATTGAAACAGCTATATCAAACATGACTATACAATGTAATAAAACTATATAATAAATATGTGGTCAGGCCACACCATATTATCTAGTATGATTAATTGAACCTTACACATGCAAAGATAGTCGTTATTGGAATTATCAACCATCAAGATAGAAGAGTCTCAATTATTTTCATAACGAAATAATCATTGGTTTTTTGTATTTTGCCATTTGAAAAGAGAAAATGGCAGCTGCCTTGACTGTGAAATACAAGATCTTGCAGAACTATATAAAGTTGAGTCTGCTTTATGCTGGACTTCTGCAGGCTTAGTGTAGACTGTAATTTAGTTACATACGAAATGTGTTGCTCTTCTCCTCTTTTGTGCTCTTGCATTTTTAATTTTTTTTTTTCCAAAAAAGCAAGATCCCTCTATGTCCAAAAGCATCCCCATGGGTGCACCGTGGGCCGTGAGGGCCATTTTACAACCTCTGGTTATGAAATGGCAAACCGGCAGTTCCCTGGTTTTGCTTCCACACTTCCTCGTTCCCTCCCTTCCCTTCGCCATGCGGTGGGGATGCTGCCTGGAACAACTTGCTGCCTGACACAGCAAGAGGAGAAGGTGGGCTCTGGTGCCGCATTCCCCTGCAATCAGCTGTAAGTGCCTCTAGATGTGTCTGTGCTGGAGCAAATCACCTGTGGTTGTAGACCTCCTGTCTCCAGTAAATCATAAGCATCTCAATGTTTTTGTCAGGCTGTGATATGAGAATCCGCATCTGAATTTCAATATGAGGGGAGAGAAGCTGATTAAGTGTTTGAGATAAGGTTATATGACACCACAGGTTAAAAATACCTGAACTGAACTTGGCCCAATGCCTGAGAACCACATTGTAGCGTATTCGGGTGATGCTGAGTAAAGCTTCCAAAGAGTTTGCTGTCTTCTGCTTTAAGAAAGCAATTCTTCAGGAGCAGTAGGAGCTGCCTCTCTCCTGTTTTACAGTGTTTCTTTGGGCTTTGCTGCCTTGCATTTCTTATCTAAAATGGCACCAATGTGTTGAGTTAAAAGGAAATACAAAAGTGTAATAAACACTAGTCATTTAGGAAGAAAAGTACAAATATTTTTGCTTGGTACAAATGTCTGGAGAAAGACTTCAGTTAGAGTCCCAGAGTCCTACACAGGTTAATTCTAGTTCCCCTAAAATGTGACAGCTGAATTCCTTAACAAATACACTTTGGTTTTTAGCAAAAAAAAACAACCAAACAAAAAACCCCAACATGGAACTGTATAAATTGTTAAAACCTAAACGGTGTGCTTTCCTTTAGTCTGGGAAATAGACTAAAGACATTCAAGAACTTTCTGACTCTAAGGACTCTATATAATTTTAGTATTTTACCAGCTGTTGTTTTTTGTTCATGACTTACATTTTTATAAATATTCGTAGTGATGAGAAGAAACTTTGGGAGATGTGTGTAAATAATAGGAAAGGTCTGCTGAATAAAAGACTTACACCAGGCAAGTTGGTCTGGCTTGTTTAAAAGTTTGCCTGTATTTAATACTTCAAAAGCTGTAGAAGGATACAGTCAGGATACTGCACTGGATTTGGGGTATCACTTTTGTGAACTATGTTTGAAGGCTTCTTTTATTTTCCATGTGAGTTACCGTATTCCAGAAGTGTGATGCAGAAATGTGATTTTTCGTAGTGCATCTGATTTACTTGCCCGTTCATTTTTTCCAGCTATACTGAAATGTGATGTTGAGCATGTTTGTCATGCATGTTCTTCTTTTTTACAGATGGGCTGAAACCAGATACCAAGATGCTTCTCACTGTTGCCTCCAAGAAGAAATCTAAGGCAGGGAAGGGGGATACAACCAAAGAGGATGAAAGCAGCAAGAATGATGCAGCCCAACCTGTTACTATCTCTCTTCTCTTTAAAAGATATGTCTTTGACATGCAGAAGAAAATGATTCAATCCTGAGAAAGCAAGAGAGGCTTCTGCTTGCACCTGAAAGACCAGACTCTGAAATTAATTCAGGTGGAATGTGTTTCTTGTCTGAATGCATTAGACTTGTTCCTTCCTCACAAACAGAGCCTGGAAGCTCCTGCTGACTATGTGCCCAAAATCTCTGCAATCTGTTTTTGTGCTGGTAGAATCTGCTTATTTTGTCATCTTTGCCATTTGAATCTTTACGGCCTCTCAGAGAATGTCACCTGCCAGATGAGCACGTTTGGGTGTGTGTTCTAATGGCGGCGGTGTTCTGGAGAATTGTTTTGAAGTTTCTCTTGATTTAAAAGTTTGCCACCAATATTAATCTAAATCTAGTCAAGATGTGAATTTCATGTGACCCACAAAGTGAAGCTGATTAGTCTAGGTTTACCTCCCCGAGCAAAATGGGGGACAGAAAGCACACGATATAATAGGTGAAACCTAAAATGGATGTTTCACATTCCTTCAGCTGCAACTATGTAAGATGCTATCTGAGATGGTATGGATCTTTTTTTTATAAATATGATTTATATCTGGAAATGTTTTTCATATTAAACATAATGATGCATGTAACTGAGAGTCTTAATTGTTCTGTTTGCTGTTCCAAAAGTTCAGAACCTATCTTCAGTGACATATTATATAGCTTTTCTGAATTTCCTGCTTATTCTGTGGTGAATCCTACTCCAGAATTGTTTTCTTTTTTTGTAACCGAAATGTCTTTTGTGTGCGAAAGAAAAAGTTGCCTCTGGAAATAGTCAAGGGCTTTATTTCATTAAAATAATGATAGAAGATTGCAGCATAAGCCTTGTAAAATGAATATCTCCAAGATGCTTTAGAAACCATTAGTTGTTTAATAGGGATTTCATGGCTGCTTTAGTTCTTCCTCTCAATTTCATGTCCTAGGCTCATAAAAACAGAGAGCACTAGTAATATCCCTTCTTTGTTATTTACAAAGCATAGGACACCTTAACATGAAAACTACCAATAATTCCACAGGTACAAAAACTGCAGTCTGGAACAGAAGTTGGACTCAGGCTTGGCAGAACGGGAAATGTTAGTTCCTGCCTTTTGAACAAAGAGAGTACTTCTGCTTGTTGATGTTAAATAGCAGCCTGTGACCCAGTCGCTGAAGCCAGACGTAGATGACCACAAATATAATGTAAGTGCATTAGTTGCACATGGACATATGTAACTTGTAATAGATTGCTGCTCTAATTCTTATTAATAATATTTTTATAATTATATTATTAATAGTGTTATTAATAAAATATCCATTGATGGGTATGAGTCCATTATGCTAACATGATCCTGTTGGGGTTTTTTTCCAGTCTTTTCCTTTTAATTTCCAGGTAACTGAAGTGGATACAAATGGCAAAAATACCAGCTATTGAGAGGATAT